CACAAGTCCAACCCTTGTCAGTTTGTCACCCATGTGCATCTCCTTAAACCATACTTAATCTCCACATAAAGACAATAACAATAGCAAGGTCATAATTCTGCCTAACAGATTATCCTACAATTACCCTACACGCAACCAAAAATGCACTAACGCCTTCCCCAAAAGTCCTTGAGTGATGTTTTCTCTTCTTGATATCCTGTAACTTAAATACTATGATGTAACATTAACAATACTTGTATAGTACTGTAAAGTTAGTGCATCTGACATTACATAAGGGAATAAAAGAAGAAAGAAGATAGAGATACACACATACACAGTCATAGCAAAATTGAAAGGAACTACTCATGACAGTTACCACCCTTGTTTCTGTAACAGGTCATGTAGTCAGAGCTAGTATTTATGACTACTTTCTTCCAGTACCCACTCTGTATTCATTTTGTCTTCAACATGTACCTCAGCTGGTCATGGTTCTTTACCTGGTGGGGTGACCCAAGCCTTCATTCCTGAAGGGTCCGGGCCCCTAGTAATACTTCCTGAATTGGGTTGTTTTAATTTTTCATTGATCTTAATACAGGGCATGATAATACTAAGAGATACCCTAAAGGATTTCCTATATTCCAAAATCTAAGGGAGGAGAAAGTTTTAAGTAAGAGTAGTCAGTTGACTGTCTAGTGAAGGTAAAAGCTGAATAAAAGGACTTTCATTGAGTTTTTATGTTGTTACTGGATATTGATATTGTTATTGATTAGAGTGGTTTTATCAAGGGATGAGGACTAAAGCTAGTTTGCAGTGGGTTGAGCAACAAATTGGAAGTACGAAAGGAGAAATAACGTGTAAACTATGGAATTTAGAATTTATCCCTTGAACAAAAGGACAATTAGAAGTTTTATAAATTTTATTGAAAAAAATTTCCCAGTGTTAGTACACTTTTTGTGTGTGCTTGGTTGGATCAATTGGTTTATATCAGATCAATGAGTCCATTCTCATATGGGCCATTTGGGTTTGATGTATTCCTAGGGATCTCTTAATATAGAGTCTTGGCAAACAAACCTTAACTACATTTATCAGGACGTTAGATTAAGGGCAAAAAAACAAACAAAAAACCCTAGTATTACTCATGAAATAAGAATGATCTCATTAAACAAAAATTATGATACCTGTAGTTTGGATGTGGTCATTCCAAAAGAGTGCCTTTTCTCTATTTGGTAAGGTAAGTATTTGCTAAAGTGAAAATACATGTTGCAGATGCACTTCTTGTATTGAAATATTATTTTAATAGTATCGGAAAATTACTAGGAGAAATAATGTGTAATACACTGAATTAAAAAGTCCTCCTTTGCTTAATAAATGAACTGTTCATTTAAAAACTGACATTTTCAGATAACTGGGGCAAGGGAGTACCATGTGTTTCAATTAAGTACTTAATGGTTTTTTTAATAGAGTTT